AGGCCCACTTGTCACAGGAAGCAGGCTGAATCTGTGACAATTAGAAACTGCACTTTTCTTCTACAGTGAGCTTTCCTCTATCCAAGTTTCTATTTTGACTGGAATAGAAATAATAGAAACAGGTTTGTCTCTATGTTTTATCAGCAGCTTCCTCCTTCACATTCATAGCATGATATTTTGGAAGAATGTGAAAGCTGAAGATTGGTACAAGTCCTTATGACATGTGGAAGTAATTTGGGGAAATGCAGAAAGCTAACTACAGCACAAAGTTGAAGAACTGAGCTTGAATTTGCACCTCAGTTTTTCTGGATTCACTCTTCCACCATGGATGCCTGTCATTCCTCCAGAAATATCTGAACTGCCAGCCCAGTAATGCTTATTGACCTATTTAGGGCAACTGTGAGAGCTGTCACATTCCTGCATTTAAATACTTGCAGCAAGTTAAGGAAAAAATATTCCAATATATGCATGAGAGAAATAGCTTCAAATAACAACCCAGTTTCTTATAGTCCCTGTGGTGTGGCAGATGACGGAGCAGGAGCTGCTCTAGCAACTGCCTTGCACATTTCTCTCTCTTGTGCACTGTTCAGTACTTACATGACTGTGTTTGTCAGTTATATGAATGAAGGAACAGCATCAGATACACATTCGCAAAAAGTGTACTGACAGTCATGGCTCATCTGTATGAAGTTAGATGCCAATAATGGCATATATATATCTGACCAGTCTTCTATCTAACTGTGCCTATCCAGAGCAAAACCAAGTTTCTTTGCCCGGCTTCCTTTAAACCTCCTGGATGCAGCTTGAGTCACAGTGCCAGAATCATCCAGGTTGGAAAAGGCCTTCAAGGTCATCAAGTCCAACTCTCCACCTGACACTACTGAGACTGCTGAGCAATCCTGGGATGGCTCCCGAACACCGAGAGGCTTCAACACCAGATGTCTTGACCTCTCTGTTCTATGGAAAAGTACAATTTAAAAAAGATTGAATGTTTTATTACTAAACTGAAAGATATGGTAAATGACTTATGTTTAAATGCTAACATGCAATGAACCCTTCCACAGCTTCCACAACTGGCCATTCCCAGTACAGAATCCATCTTGTGAGCGTGGTTTTTTTTAACCAACAGACATGCCTACTGTTTATTATTTATTTTTTGAGTTTACTAAGAGTTTTAGGTAGTAAACAAACATCAGTTGTATTTTAATGTCTAAATGTTTTTCCTTGATTCTGCTTGATTATTTCCTTCACTCTTAAAACATCCCACTTATTTCAGGGAAGTCTCCAGTAAGTTGTAGTTGCTGTACTGTGACAACTATTTGTTATTCTTCTGCAAGAAGATCCTTTAACCATTAGAAGGCAATTAATATATATCTCTCTCTGATGTTTGATGAATGCCCAGAATCCAGAAACCACATGACCTCAGCATTCCCAACAACACTTAGATATCAGTACAGAGATTGGTATATGAGTTGCTTATCCTGGATTGAAATCCCAACTGAGAAACACCATTTTCACTTCCTACAAATACGGTTACTGAATAAGACACAACTTGCACTGAAATTTTCATGGTAAATAATTAACAGTATCCCATATAATGTCTTAAAATATTTGTACAAAATGTTCTAAGAGTGATTGTTTGCCTCCAATTTGTCAATGACTTAAAATTATGCATACTAGTTTTGGCCGTAGTCGATACCACTCCTCTTAGACTCTCAGTCCTATGTTGATTACACAGAGAAATTTACTATTTCAGTCATGCAAGTCTTTCTACTAGATAATTTTTTACTTGTAATCAAGCATTTCCCATTTGTCTTACTAACTAGGCAACTATAAAAATGCTGCATTTTCTTTTCATTCCCTCATTTTATCACTAGCAGGATAATACCAAAGCTAAAAATGCCTCTGCTAAAACTAGCAGCAATAAAACATTCAAAAATCATTAGAATGGACTGAGTTCCTATGTACTATTTTGTGTCCTGTATGTAAAAAACAAAACAAAACAATACAGGATGAAAATTTGTCAGTTTTTCTTGCAATGTGCTTTAAAGTAAGATTTAATCTTTCTGGAGAATTTGCAGGTTCTGCACAACAGGTTTAAAGTTGCCAAAAATACATATTTTTAAACATGTTAAAGCATTGAGGCCCCCACAGAAAGGGAGAAGGAACTAATCTAAATGGAAAACATCTGCACATTTTGAAAAACATGTTCAGCATAATTATTATTTATATATGCCGAAGTTATTAGACTGATTTCCATTGCATCTGATAATGGAAAATTCTGGCTTGAGTAAGAAAATACAGCATAAAAACACTGCTTTTGTCAGAGAGGTTTAGATTTTAAGATAAGTAAGACAAGTGCCATTCCACAGCAGCTTCACAAACACAAATAGCATAGCCCTGAAATGGCGCAACCCCTGGTCAGACAAACACCAGCATTAAGGAGAGAACAGGAGCTGTGGGGCTGAAAAGGGGTGAGAGGGAAGAAACTAAAGGAGCTGGTTTCCCTGAACTCCTGACATGCAAGAGACAAGATGCAAGCTCCAAATGTGCAATGAATAGAATCAGACCCATGCAGTCTCTTCAGTCAAGTGGCAAATTCTGGGATCTCATTCCCAGTTACAGCTCAAAGGTAAATGCTTAAAAATCTGAGCAGTCCCAACTGGGGAAAAAAACAATCATCCATCTACTCTTTGAAGTGCAGTCTAGCACAACCCCGAAAGAGCCTTTAGTCAGTAACCCAACCATGACTCAGAAACTTAATTTCTCACACACTGTTGACTTCTCACCATTGCAAAAACTCAGATGAGCATGAACAGTGCTGAACTGTAGGCTAATATTATTTCTTGCAACCACTATAACTATGAGGAAAAAAACAACAATCAAATACAAAACTTTTTTATTCAGCCATCCATTCACTAAAGATTAGTTTAAGGCCTCTTTCAGCAGCAAATTTAATTGAGGCTTTTAGATGGCTGGGCAGTCCGCCTGATAGGAAGTGCCAGAGCATCAGCAAACACCAGCTCATGGAGTTTGTTTGCATCTTGCAACACTTAAGGTTGACCACCTTTTCAGAAACTTCATTGTTTAGCCACAGGACCTCATTGTTTAGCCACAAGAAAAGTGTTATAAAAATTGAACTACTAGTACATGTACACTTTTTTTTTTTCTGTACTTGTAGAACTCCACGTATACACACACACACACACATGCAGTGAGGTTGCTCTGAAAGTAACGCCTGCTATTTTTTAAATTTTGGTCCACAATATCAGAAGCGGATGTTGGTGGTATGGCAGTAGAGGTTGAACATTCCCATCAAGATTTCACTACATGTTGTTGCTGTGAGACAAATGGCAGCAAAGGGGCAGTCTGACAAAAGGAGGTCTGACGTTGCACATGAAGCAAAGGTGTGTCATTGAATTCCTCCATATGAAAAGAAAATGGCATCCACTGATATTTGTCAACACTTGCTGATCATTTATGGAGACCAAACAGTGGATGTGAGCAGTTAGACAGTAGATGACATGTTTCTGCAGCAAAGTGACAGTGGTCCTTTCCAATTGGGCAGATTTTTATGAGCACAGCATGCAGGCTCATGTTCATCGCTGGTGAAAATGCACAGCTAATGATGATGACTGTGTTGAAAAATGGTGTTTTGTAGCTGATACTTTGCTCTAACAAATAGTACTACTGTGCTCTTTGTTGTAGTGTCCTTGGAAATAAATAGGAGGCAATACTTATAGCATGACCTACATGTGTTTAATACATTTCAAGATAATAATATCCCATGAAAAATTAAAAAATGATAACAAAATTTGGCATAAAAGAAAAATGGAAAGAGTATTGCAGTATCAGAAGTAGCAGATGAAATTTACTGCTTAGAAACGCTTAATCATAGATTAAATGACTGTCCCACCTACACAAACCAGGAATAAAAATATTTTATAGTTAATAAGATTTTTATGTGACTTGATACGGCTGTGCCCTACAGTGATCAGATGCTTTTTACAAGTTAGTCTGTTCACTTTCAGGAGAGGATTTTTGGGAAACAGAGAAAGAGGATAGCAGACTATTCCTAATTTTAGTAATGCTTTCATGATGTAGTCTTTCTAAACTATCCCAGCGTGGCAGGGGCAGAGGTGAAGCTGAAGTTGCACACACCCAGCCCAGCAATCTAGAAATCTCTGCTAAATTCACTGGTACAAGAATGCTTTATTTATTTTCAGTACGCATAAATCTCTGATACATTTATCATCCACAAAGTTTAATGCTTGCATCAGTCATAGTGTAACTTCTTCTAAAGCATAATGATATCGCTGATGATATTTGGTATCATTAAGAGACACCAGATTCAAATATTCTTTCAGCTAAAAAAAGGGAATATGAGAGGCCAAGTAATTAGTAATTCCAGGCGCTCTGGAATTAACAAAACCAATTTTCTATAAATAGCTGTCTTTAAATCTCTTTACTTCATACAAACGGTTCCATTCAAGGAAGGCAAGGTCTTTGAAGCATTAGGACCTCATTTTGGGAAAACTCATAGCATTACAGAGATTTCTATAGTTGAACTTAATGTACAACTGAAGTACACAGAAGTGCACTCAGAACGCATATGAGGCTGTAGCTTCAAGCTGTTCCCCCAGAATGAACTCACATTTGAAAACACTGCAGAGGAATTCTGCAGCAAAAGTAGAGCAAGAATGCTGCTTTTTATCGTAGTTTTAACTCTAACAACCCCGCCTTCTTGAGATGTAATTTGCCATACAACTTTCTGACACTTACATTGTTCACAGTACATTTTTACAGACAATATCTTCATACATACTCAAGCCTTATTAAACAATCTATGCTGTGCATTAGGATGAGACTTTTTCCATATGACTTTTTAGTTTCCACTTAGTTGCAAACCGTATCATAATAGAGAAAGACAACGTTTTATGGTTCAGGTTTTATGCAGTTCCCTTAAAACTGGTAACACTACACCTCAGAAAAGTACTTACCTCATTATCTGTTCCCACGTCCAACATCACAGGTAGGCACTCAAAAGGTTTCACTCCTCCACATGCTGTATAAAGTGCCAGTTTACCAACTGGGATGCCCATTCCATAACAGCCAAGGTCTCCAAGACCAAGAATACGTTCTCCATCTGTCACTACAATAGCCTGGAGGAAGAAAGAAAAGCGGTTTAAAAATCAGTCCTTTTTTAGATCATTTTTGTACATACAAATTATTCTGTAATCATATTGGTGCTCTTTAAATTTTCATTTAAAAACAGGTACAACTGGTACAAATAAAACGACAACAAAACAAAAGTCAAGAAATCATAGATGCATGGGATCGTTAGGGTTAGAAAAGACTACTGAGATCACCAAGTCCAACTGTCAACCCATCACCACCATGCCCCTCAGTGCCACATCTACACATTTCTTGAACACCTCCAGGGATGGTGACTCAACCACCACCCTGGGCAGCCTGTGCCACTGCCTCACCACTCCTTTGGAGAAGAAATTTTTTCAAATATTCAATCTGAATCTCCCACGGCACAACTTAAGGCCGTTACCTCTCATCCTATCACCAGTTACCTGGGAGAAGAAGCAGACCCTCGCCTTGCTATGACCCCCTTTCAGTTAGCTGTAGGGAGTGATAAGGTCTCTCCTGAGCCTTCTCTTCTCCAGACTCAACAGTTCCAATTCCCTCAGACACTCCCTGTTGAGACTTGTGCTCCAGACCCCTCACAGCTTTGTTGCCCCTCTCTGGACGCTCTCCAGGGCCTCAGTGTCCGTCATGTAGTGAGGAGCCCAAAACTGATCGCAGTACTTGAGGTGTGGCCTCATCAGTGCCAAGTACAGATGATCACCTCCCTGCTTCTGCTGGCAATGCTATTTCTATACAAGCCAGGATGCAACCAGCCTTCTTAGCCATCTAGGCACACTAATGGCTTGTGTTCAGCCAGCTGCCAGCTAACACCCCCAGATTCTTTTCCTCTGTTTATTTGTATTTGTGAAATGGTTTATTGTATATCACTGTGCTTTTGTTGCACTATTTTTGATTTTTACTTCATCATAAATGGGACTTGCATGTAAAACTTTTCAGAATACACTAGAAACGTATTTCATATTACATTACAAGGAAACTGGCATTGTTCCCTATAACATTTTTCTGTCAACAACATCAAAACAGAGTAGGAAGTGAAGTTATCCAGAAAAAGAAGATCCCCAGACTCCTGAGTTTCGTCATCACTGTTTCCGGGAGAACCAGAGCCAGCCACTCCTGCTGGCTTTTCACAAGGCTGTCTACAGTCACCTAGTTCTTAGCCTTTGAATGTGTATTTGTTTTTCTCTTGAGCAAATAACACGCTCTATCATATTTATACGTATGAGATTGTGTTTCTACTGATAGAAATAGAGAAACCCAGTAAAACCCACAAAGTTATATGCACTAATGAGGAAGATTTTTCATATTAGATGGCAGAAATACACTCCACATATTCATGAGTACAAATCTAAAGATAGAGACAAAATATTAAACAGCTTCACATAAAGTAAAATTGTAAAAATAAATAAAAAGCCACTGCTGTAGCTACAGTACAACTGTCAAATTCTTGTCTTAACATTTCAATCACAGTGAAGTAGATAGCACCATAAAAATGTTCTTGTAGCAAGAAGAGTGAAGTGCAACTACTGTAGTAAAGACATGGAAAATTCTCAGAGAGCAAATGAAACACCTACATTCCATAGCATCAGGTTGCCAAAATCCATGCAAAGGTCTCCCCAGAAACATTGTGAAACACACTCAATGCAATACAGATTAAATATGATCACAATTTAGCAATTGACCCCGCGGCCTAGAAGAAGGTGTTAAAAATTTTACACTTCCTGTTGCCAACAACCACTTCTCTCATAAATACAACATGTTTTTTCATGTTTTTTCTAATTTGCTGGAATTTTTATGATACAAAGAAAAGACTATATATATATTTCAAAATTCCATACATTCAATTACTAATATTTTTTTAAAAAACAGTTGGGCACCATATGTACTGCTTCTAAATCTCAATTATAAAGAATTGGCTAAAACATAAATAGCTCTCTGAAATAAATTAAACAGTGCAGTAAATGTTCTCTGACAGTAACAGCTTTTGTCAAGCAAACAAAACCAAACCTACCTTGATGACACTTTCTGGCCAGGACTTCAGCATTGCAGCAATGTGTCCCCGGTCATGGATAGTAATAAAAAGACCTCTGCAAATAAATAAATACTTTTCATATGCACAAGCTCACAATTATTCCCTTCTAAATTATTTAAATCATAAATTAACTCCATGCATATGTTTTCGACATACATAAATTCTGTTCAATAAATGCTTTGTTTCTTTGGAATAAGAGAATTAAATATCTGCATTTACTAGAAGTCAGAGAAAATGTAACTGAGAGAAAATGCAACTGCTCAAAGATTCATTGAGCAGTAAAAATCTGCAGGATTTAATTCCGCAAATTATTAAGCTAGATTTTAAAACTCTCTAAGTATTTGACGTGTTCAAATGCATTCATTAATTTACTGACTTGAAAAAACATATTCATTTTATAGCAGTGATCACTAACGTTCATGCAGTCCCAACATTTTTAGGCAAAAATACACCGAAGTTTTAATCTATGAGTGAAAACTGAAATAAGTCATCATCATTAATTCAAGAGCATTTGGTTATATATTTAGAAAACAGTCTACTTATTTAATTAGACTAAAGTGGTAAATCATCTAATGAAAACCTCTAATTTGAAAGTGTATCTAGTCTGCCCTATAGGGCTGAGCATACTGCATTTTTACTTTGAAGAGTGCTTTTTAACTGAAAAAGACAGTCCTTCCCAAAATGCTGTAAAGAAGCAAGGCAAAATAAATGCTGATGTTTCCTTTTTGATGTACTGTATAATAAGCTGTTTTATAAACTGCTGTGTAAACTGCTTACATAAAGCATAAAAGAGTTTGTCAAAATTGCTAGATTCAGAGATGGCCAGTCTGAAAAGATGAGAGTGCTAAACGGAATGAAAAATGTAAAAAGAAAGCTACCCAAAGATATTACCCTTCTCCTTTTCCCCGCTCTCCAATTTACACAGACCTAATAGATTGGTGTTAAATGAAGTAAGATTTTGTAGTGATTTTCTAAAGCACCAGAATAGCCTAGTGTGGTTAAATGACCTCTTTCTTGCAAAGCAGGGAGAAAGGTCTCCATGGAGTGAATTCCACAGCTGAGGAAAATAAATGCAGGATGGCAGCTCCAGAAGGAACTTTGTCCAAACATTTGTAAGGACATTTGAATAAGTATTCAGAGCCCGTTTCAGAAATCTGTCCAAGAAGGATCACTTTCAAACAACAATGAAAAAGAGGGGTTAAAGTGTAAACAAAGTCGTGTTGAAAGCATTTTATTCCCCTCCCTCCACCTTTCTCTCCACTCTTTCTATACGTTATTAACACATTTCTGAACGTATTGTCCTGACTGAGAAGATGCTGTTAATTTTAAGAGCAGAGCTTTCTTATTCTATAAGAATATGAAAAAAGAAAGGAATCTCTTTATTTGGATCTGTTGTCCTTGTCTTTCAAGTCTTCAGTTAAAGCGCTTTTCCTTTAAGGCTGGCAATGCTACATGCATGCAACCACAGAAAAGCAAGCCATATATATATATATTTTTGTATCTAGGAGACTATACAGTGGCCAGAAATAGCAATAGCTGAACAAGGTTTGTAATAGTGGGTTAGGGAGACATTAACTATTTAGATAGCCAGGTATTTGGCCACCCAGTAGTCATGATGGTTATATTTTGGCTGTCAAGGCATAACCATGAGAATAATTAAGAAAGGAGCATGGCAGCAATCTTAAGCCACAGAACTTTGCAGGCTGGAAGATACACAATTTGAATGGGACTAATTTATAGAAAATTTTTCTTCTGACAGAATTTGTCATCTGTATATAACATTAATAACCATAAGTGATGTCAGCAATGCTCACTGCCCAGAATCAAACAACAGGCAGCCCATGTTGTGTCCATGGGTTTGACTCAGTCCTTCAGGCTGGAGCAGCTACAGCAAATGAACAAATAACCTGGCACAGTGCAAATCTACATGGAACATGTGTTTGAGTGCATAGGCAGCAATGCTCACCTTTACTTGTTTTGGCTCCAGTTAGACTTCAGCAATGATTCAAACCAGTCTAGCCAAAGGTATAACTTCTATTCCTGTCCCGTTCATAGAAATATAGAATGGCTTAGGCTGGAGAGGACCTTAAAGACCATCTAGCTCCAACCTCCCTGCCATCCACCAGATCATGCTGCCCAGGATCCCACCCAACCTGGCCTTGAATGCCTCCAAAGATGGGCATCCACAGCCTCTTTGGGCAGCCCGGGTCTTGGCCTCACTGTCCTCTGACTAAAAATTTCTTCCTAAAGCCTAATCCAAATCTGCCCTCTTTTTGTTTAAAGCCATTCCCCCTTGTCCTATCATTTTGAATAGAAAAAAAGTATATGAAGCTACAGTCCAGCAAAAATTATGCAAAGAAGTTACTATGCCTTCTTTTCTCTTGTCACAGCATCAGTAAGACTAGAGCCCTAAGGATTGGTGAGTGAACCCATGCCAGGACATCAGGATCCACTGAAAAAAGGATGGATTTTTGAGGGTTCATTGACTTCACCGTATTGTAGATATTACCCATGTGTTAAGGTTGTTCTGAATTACATAATTTGTCTTTGTTTTACTAGAACTCTAATCTATTAGCACAAAGTAAACAATTAAATAGTGCATTTTTTTGTCATGCTTCAAGGAAATAATGTTTCACCATCAACATATTTGTCTATTTTCTGTTGAAGTATAGTTCAGAAAAATATTTTGGAGTAACAGAATAATCCCTTCTTTCCTCTTCTTATAAGAACAGGAGGTATTCTAACATAGAAAATGCCAAACATTTCTGAATGGAGAAGTTCAAACTTTTCTCACAGCCCTTCACATTCAAAACTTTATTTCAATTATGGACTATCTAAAATTATAATAGAAGTGATTTCACTTCCCCATGCCATCTAAATCAACAAGCTTAAAAATAATAATAAAAGTTCACAGGGAGCGGCTTCAGTTTCTGAGTCTTCACTTTCTCAAACTCCTGCACTTTGCAAAATAAGCCAAGATAGTTCCTCTGTTGAAATTCCCTTCTATTTGTGCTAAAATTATACAAAGTGGTACAATATAAACATTGTACTAGAAGCTAAGAGTACCTAAATCCCAAGAATAGAATGGTTTGCTCTTTATTCAGCAAGAGATAATAGCATTTCTCATGGTAACTGTTCAGTATGGTCTCCTGCCACGTACAAAGAATACTCAAGCTTTTAATTATATCTTAACTCATTAAGTTATTTTTCTTAGTGATGCTCCCCCAAGACTTCTGAGGCCCAATAGATACTATTGATGGTCTGATTTTAAAAAGGAAGTTGTTTATAGATTTTCTTTTTTTTTTTTGCTTTAAAATTTCCCTTTGTACAGGAGTGAATACCATTACTTTAGTGCAAAAGTATTTATTTCCGTAAGGAAAATAGTTGCCACTGAAGCTGATTCTAAGCTTCTTTCTGAATTCTTCATGATAAAAACAGCACTTTATAGGCTTTGTAATAGGAGGGTTTCGAGTTACATATATATTTCTTTTTCATATATATAAAATAGTCATTATTGCATATCTGGATAAAACTCACCTTCTTTACTCACAGAATTAACAGCATAGCACTTCATGGTCTAACTATTCAGACTGTAATGATGCATCCGTTTAAAATAACAACAGAGCGGACAAAATCATCTCTCTTCAATATTCATTTCTTAAAGGACAAATTTCTTTATTCTATTTCAAAAATCTCATGTATCTAGACAACCAGTTTATATGTATTCTTGCTGAACTACAGCAGCATAATGGCCTATAAATGGGATATGTTTGTCTGAAAAGCAAAAGATAGACACTGAGAAATACAGTATTTAAGAGTCAGAACTATTTTGCTCCGGAAGCTGCTTAAATTCTACTGACAGTTGCTCAATAAATAACTTAATTATTACACTCTAATAGACTCAAATAGAACTTTTTGAAGGTTGTGATTGAGAGAACATTTCACCAGAGCCAGACAAATTAATTCTAAAGACAAAAATATCCTGCTGTTCCACTTCAATAGCTACTATATTCATTTTATTTTATGCTGATACTGTGTAAAAAACCATCATCACAGCATCAATCATGTCTCTACTAGGAGTCCTACAACGCTACTGATGTTTAAAGAAATTTTTTAATATGTTATTTAAACTGTGAAGTACTCAAACAAGTGAAATCACTGTCTTTCTACATACATTCTTCAACAATTTGTCCTGTCTCTGTTCATTGGAACATGGAAATACTCCAGGATTTAGACAATAAGGTCCTTTAAGCCAGTTTTCATTGACCTTTAAATTGACATCATTTGCTCTCAACAACCATTAAAAGGACAAAAGTGAGGACTTATTAAAAAGACTTCTTTTTATGGCACATTCTACTCAACTTCCACTTTAATGAAGAAGTCATTTCTGGAAACAGACACTATCTTCCCTTTGTGCAGCTGACCTCCACAGCTGAAAAGGGACTGAGGACAAGTTCATGTCCCAGCAATACAACAGCTCTTCATGCAGAGAGCTGTAGTGCTAAGAGGCAAAATTCAGAAAGAAGGCAGGGTAATGTAGAAAGAACACAAGTTAAATTTGTCATAATAGGTTGTCAGTTAGTTTCCAGGCCGGTTTATCCATGATTGAGCTACCTGCATATCACATTCTCCAAGACCCACATCTGTAGGGCACAGAATTGCAGGATCACCAACGTTGGATGGGACCTCACGAAGTCTTCCAGTCCAAGTGCTCTCAACTAGAGCAGTTATTTTGCTTTGGATTCCTTTGGGGTAAAGATGTGATATAGGCCATGAATTTTCCTCAGTTTTTAGCGGGGTGTGTTAGTGGTAAAATGAAAATATCTACTCTAGCAGAGTTTGCTTCTCCTAAGACTAAAAGCATTTTGCATTGTGCTTTGCTGCAACTTATACAGAAACTTAGTCTTGCTAGCAGAGGAAACTCTAACAGAAAATAGCCATAGAAAGTAGGTCTCCTGTATTTTACCACATAGAGGTGGGCAACAGAGGCTGGGAAAAAAAAAACAAAACTTTCGGTTTACTATTCACACATCTTAAGAATAAGCTCAAGTTTTT